GTCTTAAACTGGTGAAGGGAATTGAGAATTGGCCAATAAAATCGTCTACAATTCCAACATCTTCGTCGAATACTGCAAATCGAATCATGGCCAGCTCCGGCATCAGCAAAACCTTTTCAAACTTCTCATTCCACACAGGATTAAAACCTACAAAAAAACACAAGAAAGTCTTAATGTTTGTAAATGGTATGAACCCTGGAGGAACAACAATCGATCGTATAAGTGATCGCCCGAGGTCTACTGGGACTGGAATGGACCATAGGCGGTGGACAGGGAGGGTGGGGTAGGGGTAGGATGACTAGTAGTGTTGAAGAGTATCTAATTGTGCGACTCAATCACCCTATCAGAGCGCGCGAAATATTTCTTATCCCTACCTATCAGCGAACGCGTTATAAAATCGTAATTATCTAACAAAGTCGACAACAATTGCTTATTACCATTGTCTTTGACAACTTTCGTCTTGAAAGACGCTGTGTCGGCTTGTATGCCATGAAAGTCGAGTTTTACATAAGGATCAATTATCTGCAAAGGAAAAAAAAAAAGAGATGCAATACCATCGAAATCCACTTGGACTCCATGGCCGGCTTATTTTCTGATAGCGAGCGTTCAATATTTCAATCGAACAATGAAGTCGCCATATTGGATTGGAAAGATACGAGAAGGCTTGGAGCAGGTGAAATGATGAACAAGAGAGGAAGGAGTGGGAACGAATGGGGCGAACGAAAACGCCAGGCACAGGAACTCTAAACTTGCTGCTGCTGTTTGCTTCTAAAAACGTTTGCATTTAACATATTTATAGAAGTTGAGACAATGACCTCTAAACGTAAACGTGGACAGTATACAGATAGTTATTCACTTAAACATACCTCTCCTTTTTCTCCTTCTTTAGCTGGCTTTGGAAGTTGTTGACCGGAAATTACCTGGAAAAATGCACATAAACATGAATACAATCTTCCAAAACTTTTTCAAGATTAATTGATGAAAACCCCAAAATAAAGTGCTGTAAAAGATGGAACTCAGTACTCCGTAAGTTTTGAAAACTACAGATAGATATCAATGAACGGGGAAACATTTTTTTATATGCATGTATCTTAACTGACTAGCCGAGGTTTGAACAATTTGACTGTCCAGATTGGAACGGATTTTCTTAAATGGACGCAACTGTACATGTGTGCAAAGAAGTAAAAAGGTAAGTACCATAAACCATTTCCTGTAGAAAGTTTTTCAATTGATTGTCGTTAACCCAAGCACTGTAATCGCTTTGACCATATCAAAACTTAAATAATTACCAAATGAAGCCAATGAAAGTTCAAGGCGGGAAAACGCGAGAAAACGCGGGTGACCACGTCGCGATCGGTTTTAGTTGCATTTAATTGGTTGAGAAGGAGGTCCAGAATTTTTAAACCAATCAGAGCGAATTACAAGAAACCCAAGGAAATCCCGGATTACTGTCGACACTTAACTGAGAATGGCTCTGAGCTGCCAGCTAAAATCTTAACGTAAAGAGAACAGCATAGAATTGTAAGTGACTACATTACCGTAATAGATAATGTAACCTTATCCACACCGGGAATTTCCGCCTTAGTGAGAGGATTCAACTTTAACGAAGCTACAACAAAAAAAGAGGAGAAAGGTTTTAGAGAAAAATCACGTTGGAGTACGTCATGGAAGGCAACTTCTTTGAACAATTACGCTGTATTTGCCTCACCAGAGTACACCAGAAGGGTACTGGGAACGAAATTGGCGCGAAATTTCTGGACCAATCACAGAACAATAACTTGAAATTAACCTAACAGGTGTACTCCAAAAGGACTCTGGGGATGGGGTAGACTTAGGAAAACATGAAAGAGAACAAAAAGAAAGGAGAGAAAAAGGTGAATGGAAAACCTGGCGTGAGGTGTGCGCTGCAGCAGCAAACAGAGCTGTTTGGCATCGCAAAGAAGATTGATGAAAGCAAAGGTTTCTTACACGTGAAACGTTCGCATAATATATCAAACTGGGGTGACAGGTATTTCTTTCGCCCCTCGAGCGAAGTTTGACTTGCCTGCTTAGCAAAAGGATCTCCACTCAAGTAATCGTGAGGAAAATGTGCCGTAATAGAGAGTTAAAGGAAGAACGAAAGGTTAATGTGAGGTTACTAGAGGTTCTAAATGAGCATAGAAATACTTACAGTCTCTTAGAACTTTAGGCTTCAGAATGTAGCCTGCTCTTCCATTTGTCCTAAATTTTCCTTGGTTCAAGTGCATGGGTTCAGAATCCGTTTGGTAGTTTAACGCAACTGGTGTCAAAAAGGAAAGAAAAAATTAAACCCGCTGGTGGAATTCAAAGCAAAGAGGTTAAAGAAACTGTTGTGGGGCGCAGGAAAATTTAATAATTAGCTTGTTGTCCACATGAAATCGATAAACGTGGTTAAATAACCGCAACCAATCAGACAAAGTCGACCTTAACCTCCCGTCGGATTTCAACGATCTCTCAGTCCCTCCCTACCCCTTTAAGCTACACCCAAGAAGACATGGCAAACGACTCTATCAAAACAATCAATCAAAGCTGCGCTGTGTACCGAATAGGTAGAGGTTAACATTGTGACTCCTGGGGTTGACCGAAAAGGAATTTCTCTCGCGTATCACTATACTTTCACGGAAGAAGGTGGTAAGAAGAAAAAGCTACATCAACCAGCGGATACTAAAATCAAATTCTCAGAGCTAAAATTATAAGAAATGTTGGGCAGACAGAGGGGAGAATTGATTATTAGATCTCGGAAGGGTAGTGGAAGAGTTAACATACCTATCTGACACCCTGCGTTCCAGGCCTGTTGAGGGTTGTAGTTACTTGAGTCCACTCTCCCTCCAGCTGGGTATATTCTGCTGAGCTGTCTCTTGTTGTATTCAACAAACTCAGCTCCTTGAGTGTTCACTAAGTTGAGCATTTTGGATTCCACAAAAGAAGACATCTGGTAAAACTTGCCTGTTTGGAAAGGGAAAGAGAAGAAGGAAGATGTTATTCAAACGCCATGAGTGTTGAACAGAGAAAAATCTACGTCCAAATACAGAAATGATCCTCCCCTTGCAGGTTAACTACAATTAAAGATATTGTAGGAAAGAAGCCTGAAAAATTAACGTTGTGACGCGATTCGAACCCATGTTTCCTGTGCTTGTTATTACTTTTTTTAATAATGTCACGTGTTGTAAAAATTTCCGCGCTTTTCAAAAGAAACAAGCTAACCGATCCTGATCGGTTACCTCCCTCCCTAACAGAAGAGAGGTAATCTGATTGGCAGTAAACTAAATCAAAGTTATCACAACGACCAATCAGAAGAAAAGAATATCGTTTAAAGATCCAATCAGAACTCAAACTAAAACCAAGCAAAATACTAAAAGCGCGGGAAAACACGGGTGGCCAAAACTTGTTTGGTTTTAGTTTTGAATCTAATTGGTTGAGGGAGTGGCGTGAGTTTTTTAGACCAATCACAGAGCCAAGAAGAGGAAAGCCACTATAATCTCAGATTAGCTTCGACACTCAACTGAAAATGGCTCTAAAATGCTTACTGTTTTGTTTGGCGTGTTCAAAACCCTTGAATCCCACGCTAGACACATAGTTTACACAGCGAGAGAGCTCTTTGGCCAGCGTCTGCTTCTTCTTTTTCTTACCGCATTTTTCATCCTGTGGAAAAGAGTTATCAATAAGGTGTAACCAAATTGCTTCCGTAAGTTATATCGTAAAGGAGTAACCTTGCAAAAACGGAACTGCTCGGGGTTGATACTTTTCAAACTATGACGATTACTTCGATAAATTCCGTCATCATCTTAAGTAAAGCACAAGTAGAGTAATTGGTTGCTTATAAAAATACCTTTTGGGGGACAAGCCATTATTTTTAGCCGGGTAGAGGGGGTTCAAAGTATTTTGGTTGTGTCACAATACGATTTAGCTAATCCCTCCATGAGGTTCTGTAGTTTTCTGAATATTCCCTCGTCAATGGTAGTCAATTTTCTATAGCATCCCACCCCCACCCCCGATAAACTCTGTTAAAGACGAATGATCCCCCTCCGGTTTCGTTCTCTTCTGGTAAACCTTTTGTAGTCGAAATTGGGAAATCATGGCCTGAATGCATCTGTTCCTACTCACAAAACCTAAAAATGATTCCATATGGTCGCTGATCTCTCTCGTGAAGCGGGCGGGAGTATACATAAACATGTAACCATGGAAACTTTCTTCACCAGAATCAGAATACGATAGCTGACGTGAAAAGTGCAAAACTACGTTTAAATTTTTCCTAGAATTAACAATATTCTAAATGATAATGTACATTCTTTCTTAAAACGTCTGTATAATGAATTGGTTTACTGTATTTTGTTAGTGTTAGAACTCAACAACTCACTTTCGCTTTAGGGGATACTACAACCATCCAAAGCTATTTTAAGCCTGGCGAAACTTAACTACACTTTCCAGCTGATATGCAGTTTACATTTCACAGACTTCATGGGGTTAAGATGGTCATCTAAATCTAATGCCTGCTTATATCTGCGAGTCTTGTTTAATCATAGTTGAATCATTTATACTGAAAGTCAAGAACTATTAGACAGAATTAAGAACGTTAAAGAAGAGAGAAGAACTTGGTTTTGTCATTATTTTATGCTACTGAGGTTAATGATTCCTCGCAGTGAGGTTTTAAAATGTTACCTTTACGAAAATTTTACAATAAAATCACATGCTTTGATGGCATGTTCCTTGCGTTCAGTCAGTAAAACGAGCGGCGTAAACGGCGCTGGTAACATCTGATTCAAAGAGAGAGAGAGAGAGAGAGAGAGAGAGAGAGAGAGACAGAGAGAGAGAGAGAGAGAGAGAGAGAGAGAGAGAGACAGAGAGAGAGAGAGACAGAGAGAGAGAGAGAGAGGCATGGAGAGAGAGAGAGACAGAGAGAGAGAGAGAGAGGCATGGAGAGAGAGAGAGACAGAGAGAGAGAGAGAGAGGCATGGAGAGAGAGAGAGACAGAGAGAGAGAGAGAGAGGCATGGAGAGAGAGAGAGACAGAGAGAGAGAGAGAGAGGCATGGAGAGAGAGAGAGACAGAGAGAGAGAGAGAGAGGCATGGAGAGAGAGAGAGACAGAGAGAGAGAGAGAGAGGCATGGAGAGAGAGAGAGACAGAGAGAGAGAGAGAGAGGCATGGAGAGAGAGAGAGACAGAGAGAGAGAGAGAGAGGCATGGGTCAGGTCGCGAAAAGACCCAAACTTTCCTGGTTTTTTTTTTTTTTCACTCCTCCGCTACTACTGCGCCTCGTTTTACTTTAACTGAGCGCCTGGAAGAGGCTAATGCTTAAAAAAAAAAGACAGAAAGATGCATAAAACGTTCTTCCTTTAATCATTCTTATTTGAGTTCAATTTAAAGTTTTACAAAGCTAGAGCGTTTTTCCAGAGACAAAACTTAATGTAGGCGCTTTGACTTCAATTTTTTACTTTTACTTAACTAAGAGCCAGGAAAATCAACTCCAGCAAGTAAATCTAAGCGTAGTTCTTGTCGCATAGCGCGATTTTAGATTTCCACCCTCTTTTTCAAAGAGCTCAGACCATTATTTTGTTCCAACACTCAATGTGAAAAGAACGCTCTAACTTGAAATTAATGAAGTTTATCATTATCGGCATGAAATTTTAGCCTTTACTTACATCTGTTTCGTCTTTAAATTTAGCAGCACTGCGGACCACTTTACCAACGGAACGAAAAGATCTACGAATGCTTTCCTGGTAAATACATGGAACAGAGAACGACAAAAGTAGAGATTTCTCAAAGAACTATTTAAAACTATATTCACGAGTTTAGTCACAAGGGGTTAAGTTTAAAATTTAAGGATACCTTTTAAAGATTTACAAAGAAAGTTTCTTCTTAATTCCGCCAAGTATCGATCAAGTCATCAAGTCAGGGAAGCCATCAAAACTACACCTGCTTGAATGTTACATCGGAAAAACTTTTAAACCCTAGATATTCAACCTATAAGTATTACAATTTTAACGAATAGTTCCTGTGGAAAGATAACAAAGAACGTTGGGGGAAACCTGAAAAAAAACGGAGACTTAGGGAGGAAAGTGTAACCTACTAACCTTCTATGTCAACAGAAACTCAAAATTTGGGGAAACCTGGGGAAAACAGGGGGAACTAGGGGAGGGGTGGGTAACATACTAAAGGTGCAAAATCTTATCCATACTGCGCCAAAAGAAACTCAAAATTTCAATATTGATACAATATCAAGCAGACAAGAGATGAGAATAAAGATAAAAGGTCAGTTGGAGGATAATCAGTTGATCCAACGCCAATTTCTTCAAAATAAAATAGTATTGTATGGCAGACAGTAAGGAGAAGTAATAATGAGATCTTGGGAGCGAAAGGGTCAATTCTGTTCGTAGATAGCGTTACTTTAAAACTGTTTCCTTGAAGTTCGTGAAAAATTAATTGATTTTAACAGACGTTTTCAAAGCGGGACTAGGGGTTCTTTGGTTCTTTTATCTCGATTGCTAAACTTATAATAATAAAAAAACATAGTAACGTGCCTTTTTCGATTTCTTTTCTTTCTTTTTAACTGGAGGAGTAACAGGGGTAGAGGAGGGTCCTTCTGCGCCTGCGCTCGAACCCGCTTCCGCGCCCGCATTTTCTTTTGCTATTGCAACCGCTGCTGCCTCTTGATCGATATCAGCTGCTTCATCTTCATCTGTGACGTCACCCTCTTCGTCATCAACTGTCTCTTGCTCTAGTTTTAATTTCTTACCCTGCGAGAAACACGATGGGAAGAAAGTATAATCCTTTAGGGTCCAGCCATCATTTATCACCGGGTTGGGGAGGTGGGGGGAAGTTGTGTCATGATAAAACTTTCCTGATCCTCCCATAGGTCTCCATAACATTCCTAAGATACCCCCACCATTATCGGCAATTAATTGGCAGTCAATTTTCTACAGTTCCCCCTCCCCATTTATACTCTGTTGGCGACGAATCATCCCCCTCCGTTTCCCCAGAAAAGAATTCCTACAATACCCCCATCCTCATCGGCAGTCAATTTCTTGTATTACCCCCCCCTTTATACTATGTTGGCGACGAACGATCCCCCTCTGTTCCCCCAGAAAGTCATGTAATTCCCCTGGGTGATAAATTTTGACTTATCTCTTAATAAATGCAAGTCACTCTTTATACTCTGTTGGCGAAGAACGATTCCCCTCCGTTCCCCCTGAAAATCATGTAACCCCCCCCCAGCGATAAAAAATGGCAGGTCTCTCAACACTCACAAGTCCCCCTCACCCATTAATACTCTGTTGGTGACGAATGATTCCCCTCCGTTCCCCCAGAAAATCATGTTACCCCCCGGCGATAAATAATGGCAGGTCTCTTAACACATGCAAGTACCCCCTCACCTATTAATACTCTGTTGGCGACGAATGATCCCCCTCCGTTCCCCCAGAAAATCATGTAACCCCCCGGCGAGGAATAACGACAGGTCACTCAATACATACAAGTCCCATCCCCCCTCCTTTATACTCTGTTGAGGACGACTGGTCCCCCTCCGTTCCCCCAGAAAATCATGTAACCCCCGGGCGAGAAATAACGACAGGTCACTCAATAATACAAATCCCACCCCCTCCCTTTATACTCTGTTGAGGACGACTGGTCCCCCTCCGTTCCCCCAGAAAATCATGTAACCCCCGGGCGAGAAATAACGACAGGTCACTCAATAATACAAATCCCACCCCCTCCCTTTATACTCTGTTGAGGACGACTGGTCCCCCTCCGTTCCCCCAGAAAATCATGTAACCCCCGGGCGAGAAATAACGACAGGTCACTCAATAATACAAATCCCACCCCCCCTTTATACTCTGTTGAGGACGACTGGTCCCCCCTGACAATCATGTCAACTCCCCCTTTAGGCGATGTATAATGACTGGTCTCCCAACACCTACAACGTAAAGGAACAAGACAGTACGAACCACAAAAAAAATTCTCCTGCCCACATTCAGCAATAATATAGGTTAAGCGGTGAGCATAAAAGATTACAGCGGAACTTGCAGTTATTTTTGTGGACACTTGACCTTTTGACGTAAAACAGCTAGTCACAATATATTTAATACTACTGTAGTAAACAACACGCCAACATGCCAATACCTTGATGAGAATTTTGTTCTTGAAGAAATCTGGAGATGGAAAAGTATCAAACTCCGTAGCTACAGGAATTTTGTACAGGGAATCTGTTTATCAAGTTAGTCAAGGAACTAACCAGCTCTTCACCTTTTTTGAACTATCAAATCAATGTAATGTCTAGCTATGTCTTAAAGCAACGCAGCGAGTCTATCTGAGATTCCATGTTGACGTGCGTCTATTTGGTAATACAACACAAATGACGTCAAAATGCGGTAGGAACAAAAAAGTGGCACGCGAAGGGCAGCCAAGTGTGTCACAGATGTTGTTATCGCATTTTGGCTTCTCCTATGGTCCATTAATAAACAGACCCACGCGTGGCAATATGGAATCTATCTTTTTTAATAGGATCAGAAAACCAAAATGTTGTTAATGGTGACGCTATTCATGCGTCTGTCCTCCGATAGATCATAATTAAGAACCAGTCAAAACGTGTGTAGGATGTAGCTTACCAAATAAATTACGATATACGGTTATTTCTTGGTTCATTCGCCCGTTCCGGAGTTCATGCAATCACGCGAATTCGCAAGCTGGTTTCTTCCCTCAGAATTTCTATTCACTGTTTTTTTTTTACACACTCAGCAAGGAATGAAACTCTAATGAAAATGAAACTGTTATCATAAAAACTTGAACAAATTAAAAGATACAGTCGACCGTCCAATAACGGTCACCACTCTACAATGGCCACATCTCCACAGCGGCCACTTTTTCGGTCCCAGTGGGCTGTCCACACATTACACCCCTACCTCCCCACAACGGGCACCTCTCCAAAACGGCCACTTTCTTCTGTCATTAAGGTGACCGTTGTGAAGAAGTTCAACCGTACCTTCAAACCATCCTTCCACTACGCTAGTAGTTTTCTTTTGATATGCTTTCGATCTTCAGTTTTCTCAGTCATTCGTTCGTAATTCTTTCCTTCATTTCCCTGTTGGTTTTTTTCCTGTAAATTTTTTCTCTTTTATGCATCCAATAACGTCCAGATTTACAACCTAAGTTTCTCGTTTGAGATATAATCTCGTTTTAGCACATGCCGCTTCAAATTCTAGTAATATTTCTATGACGACTCATACAAAGGATACCACCAAGTATTTCTTCGAGTATTTGAGCCATTTTCTTTTGATTTGAAAGATTGCAATGGTTTTCCAAAGAGAGAATAACTGGATACCTGTAAAAAGGAGAAAGAAAGAATGACTGTTAAATTACTCCTAACTGGTCAAGGCAATTTATAACAGTAATTGAGCCGAGTGCAATTCGGTCTGAAATCATACGCGTGATTTCCAAATAAAACGAGCGCGCAGCGCGAGTTTGATTTGAAATCACAACTGTGGTTTCGGACCAAAATTGCACGACTCGAAGTTCAATCACCACTTTATCATATCTGTTTTGAAATCGCAAAATTCAGTGGCTTGTTGTGTTTAGATAATGCTGTCTCATTGGCTGGGAAATAGATACAATTTCTAGCATAAAATGGTGCGATTCGTGAATAAATCGCTCCGATGAGACCCAATCAGATTGCAAGGATGTAATAGAGCCAGAATATGAACTGAGTGGCTCATTTGGCCGGTGCTCATCCCGGTTTCTGTACCATGAAGCAACGAGGGGTATTAGTACCCCTCCCTGAGTAGGAGGATAGTCCATTGCAAGTTCATCACCTCCCCTCCCACCTCTTTGGCATTTCCTCATGTCTCTATGACAGTTTGTAGGGACAGACACGGTCAAAGTGAAGTGTTTTTCCAAGGAACACAACAAATAATCACAAATATTTGTTTAACCCTGTAATTCCTAAGAGTTACTGGCATCTAATTTCTCCTTACAGTATCACCCTTAAATCAAATGTTAAGGTCATGAGAATATAGAAGATGATCACTACTTTAACATAATGAGATCCTGATTGTCACACCAATTCTCCTCATCACTACCATGGGAAATGTAATAGAATAGTGTGGAAAATATAAATACTTATATAGACTGCTGCATTATATCACTGTTCCCCTCCCCAGAGAAAACCTTACTTGTTTCCAAAAAGAAAAAAAAAAACTACTTACTCTGAAACCTCGAACGCATATCTATTAACAGCCTCGATCACATCTTTGAAGAGAATCTTGGAGGTGAGCGTGTGACCATGGTAAACAATCGGCTCTCCGTTCTCGCCATCCCAACAATCCAACTCCACACAACGACAACCTTTCTTCAGAGCGTTGATATACGCATCCACGCTAGACGGACCACGGAGCTGATCTTGTAGAAGATAAGTGTTGTGGGACGAGGCAATATAGTAGTGGGTCAGCGGGTGCGTCATGTCTTGGTAAATTTCGTCATGGGCGGGGTTGAAGATGTCCCCCTCAGGAGATTTGAGGTACTTTGTCAACCCTGGTAGATTGCGCCCGAAAATTTGTTCAATCAGTAAAACCGGGAAAGAAACGTTTGTCGTACCTTTCTTAGATTGCGAGCGCGCACTCATTATTAGCGATGTAGGACGCGTTTCTCTGCCCAAGGGATGATTTGGCACGAGGCGAGGAGACGTATGCCGGGGGTCTAGCACTAATAGCTAGACCCCTTGAAAAATACTTCTCGCGGGCTCGTGTTGCTCGAAGCCATATTTTTTTCCTGCGGACGAAGATTCTCTCGTACCAAAGTACTAATAACGAGAGCCTACTCATAGGCCACATCTTTCTCGATGTCATAACCGAGCTCAAAAAATCAGACTCTCTTGTTCTATTTCCGCGCATAACGATTTCGACAATGTTGATCCTAGCATTATGCTGGACGGGTGTCAGGTACGAAGCTTGGCCTGGATTGCCATAGAGTGTCTGTGGTTCGATTCCACGTGGAAACTCAGAGTATTTTCTTCGTCTCGCGCTCGCGAGAAGACGAATAACATCTATCTCTAGCGCGAGCTGAGTTATTGAAATTTCCGTTTAATTATTAGAACAACTTCAGAGTAAATACTGACCGTCAATTCCTAATTCATGTCTCTCCTTCCCCGTCTCTGTTGGTTCATGAGTCAAAATCATCTCCAAGCAGTATTCTCTGCTGACGTTAGGCATCTGAAAAAAAGAAGTTGAAATACCTTTATCGGTTCAAACTGATGCTGATTGACTTTTATCTGCAATCGGATTCGCTGACTGACTGACTGACTGACTGACCAACAGATTGACTTACTTGGACTTAGTCACTGACAATTGACAGACTCGGCTAAGTCAATGACAATTTTGACTGAATGATTGACTTGAAGCCGATTAACTACTTGAATATCTTGTTGACTGACACCTGTTTAACGGATGGACTAACTTATTGGCTGACTGATCAACGTAAGACTCACTGACCAAATGATTGACTGACTGAGTAATTGATTGACTGAGGGACTGACTGACTGACTGACTAGCTGGCTGACAGACTGAGTGACTGACGGACTGACCAGCTAACGGACTGACGGACGGACGGACAGACTGACTGACTGACGGACTAACGAACAGACGTACTGACTGACGGACTGACGGACTAACGAACAGACGTACTGACTGACGGACTAACGAACAGACGTACTGACTGACGGACTAACAAACAGACGTATTGACTGACGGACTGACGAACAGACGTACTGACTGACGGACTGACGGACTAACGAACAGTCGTACTGACTGACGGACTGACGGACTAACAAACAGACGTATTGACTGACGGACTAACGAACAGACGTACTGACTGACGGACTAACGAACAGACGTACTGACTGACGGACTAACGAACAGACGTACTGACTGACGGACTAACAAACAGATATATTGACTGACGGACTGACGAACAGACGTACTGACTGACGGACTGACGAACAGACGTACTGACTGACGGACTGACGGACAGACGTACTGACTGACGGACTAACGAACAGACGTACTGACTGACAGACTAACGAAAAGACGTACTGACAGACGGACTGACGGACTAACGAACAGACGTACTGACAGACGGACTAACGAACAGACGTACTGACTGACGGACTAACGAACAGACGTACTGACTGACGGACTAACGAACAGACGTACTGACTGACGGACTAACGAACAGACGTACTGACTGACGGACTAACGAACAGACGTACTGACTGACGGACTAACGAACAGACGTACTGACTGACGGACTAACGAACAGACGTACTGACTGACGGACTAACGAACAGACGTACTGACTGACGGACTAACGAACAGACGTACTGACTGACGGACTAACGAACAGACGTACTGACTGACGGACTAACGAACAGACGTACTGACTGACGGACT